ATTTACATCATTACTGGCCTGGGAGTGTGCTGAAGCAGTCAACCAACTGGGGAGAGATAACAGTGTTACTGTTAAATGGGTACCAGGACACACTGGCATTTATGGTAATGAGAGAGCTGACTACCTTRCAAAAGCTGGCAGTCAGGCTCACTTCAAAGGATCAGAGCCTGTTGTAGGTATCTCAACAACAGTCTGTAGGACTGCCCCACAGGCCTGGATCATACGTCAACACTCAGTCCTCTGGAGGGAGCTGATGGATATACAGGCACTGATTAACGGCCCAAATCTTAAGAGTTTTTCTTGTCAGGGTGATGAGAGCTTTCCCAAACCTAAGTACACTGGTTGGAGTCCTTTTTTATTTTATTTTATTTTATTTTATTTATGTATTTTCTGGTTGGAGTCCTAAATGGGCTCATCCTGTTCTGGTGATGCTGAGGCGCCACCCTCCCTGACAAAAGGGAGAACACTGTAAAATATACATTTATCAATCCAGTTATAAATGTTGTTTTTACCCACTAGTGTATGCTTACATGCAATATGGATTATATCAATTATATTTTCCACCTAATGACATTCATTCATCAGTGAATTTCCACAGACAGACTGGTTTGGTTTCTGTCATGGACACTGGAGCTCCAGGAATGCACTCCTTCTGTGTGTAAATACTCACATTTTCTTTTTCTCTTTGTCACTTACTGCATTTCCCCTTGAGTTATGCCATTTGTTGGTACTGTATGCTGACAAAAGTGAAAGGGAGCTATTTTAGTGCATGTGTGCGTTTCTTCATGAGCAATATGGCACATTTTAATGTAGCTTTCAGAGAGTAATCTTTGGATATACAGTAAATATACAACAAAAATATTTAATGAACCCATTTTAAGCTGGCTGTCATTGCAGAGTTCTAGTCATTTGGGGTTTTTTCCACTGTCAGTCAGGCATGTTTTAAGATGAAAATAGATGTAGTACTAGTTCAGAGTCATCTTCAGTACATACCTTTAGCACTTACAT